GGCTCATGCCTATAATCCTAGCACTCTGGGAGGCGGAGGCCGGAGAATCACTTGAGGCCAAGAGTTTGAGATCAGTCTGAGGAAGAGTGAGACCCCGTCTCTACTAAAAATAGAAAAAATCACCCAGACATGGTGCCACATGCCTGTAGTCCCAGCTACTTGGGAGGCTGAGGCAGGAGGATTGCTTGAGCCCAGGAGTTTGAGATTGCTGTGAGCTATGATGATGCCACTGCACTCTATCTCCTGCAACAAAGCAAGACCCTGTCTCAAAAAAAAAAAAAAAAAAAGATTTGCAGGACTTGCTGAATGAGTTTACTAGAGGGCTGAGGGAAAAGGAGAAGCCTAGATGGCTGCCATCTTGGGGGACTGGATAGATCAGGATACCCCTGCTTAGGTAGAGAATAATAAGAGGAGAAGATTGGGAAGAAGAATGGGGAGGTATTAAGAGTGGTTTTTAGACAAGCTGAGTTGGAGATAATACAGTACAAAGTTGGATACACAGTTGGAGATAGAGGTTTGGGAGTCATCAGATATGGGTGCATATGAAATAACCAGAGCAAGCATGCAGAGTGGAAAAATGGCTTTTGATAGAGATGTGGGGAACATCAGTCCTTAACATGTATGCATGAAATAAGGATCCAGCAAGGGAAACTGAGGCAGAGCAGGCAGAGAGGTGAAAGGAGAACCAAAGAAGATTAGACATCTTGGTCACTAAGGGAGAAGAACACACCCTAACTCTACCTTCGCCCTTCCCGGAGACCAAAGGCTTATTTTCTAGAAAAACTGACCTAAGAATCTAGGCACAGGAATCAGCAGCATAGACTGAATGCAGGGGAGTAAAAAGTTTAAACCCTGAACTAAGAGAGTCTCATCTCACCTTCCCTGACCTACTCCCAGAGTGCAGAAAGCCTGCCCCAGGAAGGTTACTGGAGAATGGTTCCCGTTAGAAACCACTGGAAGATGTACTTCAAAACATAGATATTTAGATAGATAGATAGATGAAAGAAGTAGAAGATAAGGAAACAGGATTCATCATAAGCAAAAGGACAGCGACTGTGCAGCAAGCCTAAAGGACAACCAGTCCAGAATGAGTAAGGAAGCAGAGGGTCGAACTAGGAAGACCTCCAGGGAAAAATATGAAACTGATATGTTTAAGTGTTTGGAAAAATTACTGATAGGTGTTCGGCAGATTTAGTGGAGCATTTGGAAAGACATATAGAAACATAGAAAATGAAGCAGATGAAAAATTAAGGCAATTATTCTTTTCAAGGGGGAAAAGTGGTAAGAGGAAGAGAGCATAATCATAGTACACTACTCGGCTATGCAGGGAACAATACTTAAGTTTACATTGTAAACATAAACATATATAAATTTATAAATGCTGGATGCTGATTTCTCAAAAAAATTTTCGTATAGTCATATTGGGAGAATGGGAAAAAGGGAAGGGAGGGGACAAGTGAGAGGGCTAAATCTTCAACAATCAAAATGATAACAGGGGCCAGGAGCGGTGGTTCACGCCTGTAATCCTAGCACTCTGGGAGGCAGAGGTGGGAGGATTGTTTGAGCTCAGGAGTTCGAGACCAGCCTGAGCAAGGGCGAGAGACCCTGTCTCTACTAAAAATAGAAAGAAATTAGCCATACAACTAAAAAAAATAGAAAAAATTAGCCAGGCATGGTGGTGTGTGCCTGTAGTTCCAGCTACCCAGGAGGCTGAGGCAGGAGGATTGCTTGAGCCCAGGAGTTTGAGGTTGCTGTGAGCTAGGCTGATGCCATGACACTCTAGCCTGGGCAACAGAGTGAGACTCTGTCAAAAAAAAAAAAAAAAAAAATGATAATGGGAAAACAAAAGATATCTAAACTCTGGAAATAAAAAGTCAGACGACAAGCACATTATTTAGAAATATGAAAATAAATCCCAGAAGAAACAGCTAAGAGTTGGAAGTGGTTTTTCTCCAGGGGAAAAAACTGAAGAAAGGGATAAGGAACATCTGTTTTCATTGTCTTTTAGCACTGGCTGATATTTAAACTATGTGTATGAATTTTTTTAATAAAAACAAAAAGTAATTAAAGAATAAATGAGAAATGTGAAAGTGAAGCCGGGAAGTGTGTTGTGTCAGTAGCTTACCTGGGCATGGAAGGAGACAGGGCAATAGCTACAGAGGACTGCACAGTTGAAGGAAGAATTTTGCTAAAATGGAAGAGGTCAGAGCATGTTTATATCCTGTATGGAAATAGCAAGTGAAAAGGAGAAGTTGAAACAGAAGAGAACAAAGACATAACCAATGAGGAGACCCAGGAGGAGGAGGCAGAGGGGAAACACTAAACTTTATCTGGGTTGGGGAAATTTTGCAATCATACATTCCCATTTACCGGGAAATCCTCTCTCTGTTCATCTCCTCGTTACCTCACCCTCTCTCTCTCGCCTTCCAGCTTCCAAAATAAATGTGCTCTTCTTATCTATATCTCTGTGATTTTCCCAGTCAGGAAAGTCTCATTCTTCCCTCAGTATTTTGAATCTATGAGGGAATGAGAAATTAAAATCTTTTTACATGTTATGTTCTTGAACTTGTTTCCACATCCCTGAAATTATACTCTTCCCACACTACACATCAAAGCTATTTCTTCACTTCTTTCTTGAAGACATTCTAGTAAGATACCTGGTAACACCATCGATGAATACATTAAAATCTCTAAAGAGAGCCCAATTGCCACCCATCAGCCAATCCTCACTGGAAATAAAATAGTAATGCCAGTAGAAACTGAATACAATCTTGTTTAAGCAGATGACCTAGATGTAAAGCTCACATTTTCAAAAAACGATTTGCTCTAGCCAGGGCAACAGAGTGAGACTCTGTCTCAAAAAAAAAAAAAAAAAAAATGATAAACACTCCTAGAGCTGTGTCCCATAGTGGAACATTTCTGGGACCATTCATGGGAGGTGGCCACCATCATAGTGTGCTGCAGTAGCCAACATATTAAAATTATTCTCAGACCAGGAAGACCGGTGTCTTCTCTGTAACTGTGTAGATTGTGACCTGCATGTCCCTAGAAGGCACCATCACATTGAAGTCTGTGGCAATGGCACACACCTCCCACCGCTGAGTCCCCCATCCGCCTGGAGTTTTTCAAGGTGAGACCACAGCAGCAGCTATACACATCAGCCATGGTGAGACCCCTTTTATTTTACTGCACAATACATTTCAGGACCAGGAAAGATTCTAAACTTTTAATCCCATTTACTTCTACAAAAGCACATTAAATTGCATCTTAAAAACATTATGTTCACAAATGGAAGCTGGAGTTGGAGTGCATTTAAAGCTCCACCTCCTATCCCCAGTGGATCTTATTTCTAATATGTGGTTTAAAGCAAAGCTATCCAATAAATGTAGAGTTGCTTCTAAAATTACAAAGAAAAACTGCCATGGTGGTTACTCCTTATCATTTCTGAAAAGTGGATACGTGTTGTTCTGCCAAGTTTTCTTAGCAGTTGTAGTTTGTAGGTGGCTCTATTCCAAGATCTAGATGTCTAAACATCCTATACATGCACTGTTAAGCCTTCAGAGCACTCTCCCTGCAGATGGTTCGGACTTCCAGGAAGAAACAGCGTAGTAAGCATGGTGTGAGCAGGTAAAAGCAAAAACAGCAGCAGTGACAATGAAATTATGATAAAAGTTACTGAAGAATGGCAGGTAGAGTCAAAAGGAATGCAGTGTTTGGTTCTTTTGACACCTCGTTTGTTCAAATGCATTATGGTATGATACAGTAACACTAAATACTTCACAAAGACCAAGTAGGCAGTAGCAAAAACAGTGAATGACCTTGTTTTTGAAAGACTCGGATGTTCACTGTATGAAAGAGGAAAAATTCCCTTTTGAAAAAATATAAGTCAGTACTCTAAGTGGCAAGCTCTCTTGTTTAAACTTGTCCAAAATCATATTTCATAGTCTTTTTTCTATGTCTCTCTCTTCTTCAACCTTGAAATCCCATCATTATGGCACGTCTTTAACATGATTGCTCAACATTTTTTCGTACATATGCTAAACACTGATGAGCAGTAGGCAACAGAGATCTGATTAAAGCGAATGTGGATACTATAAGGTATCTACATCTACCACCACCATATGCGATTCAAATCCAAATTCTGCAAGTGATAAGAAATACGGTGTGGAAAAGAACTCAGAAAAGAGCTTCTTTATTATGAAACGTTAATTCAAGGGCTAAAAACTAATCCAACATCTTTTTTTTAATCTGTTTTTTCCCAAATATCAAGAGTAGATGCTGTCCATATAACTTGGGAGCCTTCATGGTTCAAAAATGGAAAAATAAAAAATTGTAACTTTGCTATTGTTGTGTTTTTATAAAGTTTACTCAATTGGCTCAAAAATTTTGGCAAAGGTGCAGCCTACGTGAGACCTTTTGTGCTAATCTGTGGGTTACCAGCGTTGAGCTCATCTGTGGTTCTGTGACTATGAAGCACAATGTCCGCTTTAACATGGTTAATGTCACAAATACACCTGGCATTTTGCATTCGCACTCTGTTTCATGCTTATTAAAACATGCTTAAAAATTAAAGAAAATGATTCAAACGTGAATAAAAGTGACAGCAATAACAATTCACTTCTCCGCACCACACACACACACACACACACACACACACCAAATCATGAACTGGTTCTACATTTGCAAGTAAAGTTCACACTTAACTGAGGAAAATATTTGAATTCAATTAAGCTATGCATCATGTCATTTTTTTCTTGGCATTAAGGTATCAAAATTTACTGTCTGCAATTTTCTATCCATCACAATCTCTCTTGAGCTATAAAAGGCCATTTGGCAGCTCTATTCAAACTGCTCCACAATTTAAATCAATCGTACACTTGAACAGAGCATGAGTCTGACATTAATGGTTCCAAAATTATTGCTAAAGAAATGTTGGGAATCTTTTGGAGGGAGCTAAAACTTCTACAATACACGCAGACACACAAATAAGTAAAACTCTGTTTTTAGGATTCCATATTTCATTTCCACTTTATTTCACATTCAAATTATTATCTGAAATCATCTCAGAGGCTTTTGTTTTTGCAAAATTTTAGAGGTCCAGGCCCTGTGATAGCTACGTGATTTTTTCTATCCAGCACATAAAGCAAATTCAGGATTTGATAGAGGCCAATGAGAATTGTTAAACTATATCTTATTTCGTAATAGATTTTTTTAAAAATAAAGTACTGTGGAATGAGGTCAATTAAATTTGGCTTATAATTAGGAAATACGGGAGCCAGCCTTGGAGAGCATGTGATCCAGCCCCCACCTCTTACTGATGAAACACTGAGCCTGCTCAGATGGTTAACTGATGGGTACACTTGCTAGAAGCAAAACTAGGACGAGAGGCCAGGCCCTGCCTCAGGCCCAGTGTCTTCAACAAATCACGTGGCAAACAGTAGTTTTGCTAATTAGTTCTGTTCCCCAGCATCAAAACAAATGCACAAAATAGGAAAGACACATGGCTATTAGTTGGTTATTTTATAAACAAGATATTTAAAACTTAAATTAGTACATGTAAAGAGTTGGCACGAGCAGACGAAGGTTCGTTTTCACAGCAGCAGTAGCATCTGCACAACATACCCCCTCAGCCACTGCCCTCAGCCCTTCCCCCCTCCAAGAGAGGTAGCGCTGCTGGCTGTAGATTTCTTCAGCTCTATTTTCATAGACTGAGTCTCAGCTCGAGGCTCGAATTTGGTCAGATTTCCTGCTCCTGGGGCTGCCACTACTGGCTTTCCTGCTTTCATACCTTTTGACATAGGAATGCGGGTGGGTGTAGGCCGCTGGGATGACCCATCTTGTCCTGACTGTAAGAGAGAAAACACAGAGACAACAAGGGAGATGTAGGTGAGTTTCCCCAGGATATGCCATCAGTCTGAACATTAGCAGGACTCTTGCCACCCGAAGACCCACAGACAACCCTTCTCCAAATAAAAGAATTGTAAGAGGCCGGGCGCGGTGGCTCACGCCTGTAATCCTAGCTCTCTGGGAGGCCGAGGCGGGTGGATTGTTTGAGCTCAGGAGTTCGAGACCAGCCTGAGCAAGAGCGAGACCCCGTCTCTACTAAAAATAGAAAAGAAATTAATCGGACAACTAAAAATATATAGAAAAAATTAGCTGGGCATGGTGGCGCATGCCAGTAGTCCCAGCTACTCGGGAGGCTGAGGCAGGAGGATCGCTTGAGCCCAGGAGTTTGAGGTTGCTGTGAGCTAGGCTGACGCCACGGCACTCTAGCCAGGGCAACAGAGTGAGACTCTGTCTCAAAAAAAAAAAAAAAAAAAGAATTGTGAGAAATCTGGAATTGGTATCTAATCTGCTCAGATTACCTCCCTTTCCTTTCTCTAGAAACATCTTTGCTTGAAACTTCCTTCTCTTCTCAAGCACTAACCTACCTCCTCTACTCTTACTGAAGATGATCTTGACTCTTATTTCGCAAAGAAAAATATAGGCCACCAGGCAAAAACTCAGGCCATGTTACTCCTACTGTCCCTTGGTTACCTCCACTCTTCCCCGTTTCCTCCATTTCAGGTGAAGGGGCAATCTTTTCACCTGTGACCTCAGACTCTTCTTACTTTTTGTTGTCCTTGCTGACCACACCCTCTTTCTTAAAGGCTGCAAATACTCTCTTGCTGTGATTTCTTACATGAGTCTCATCAATTCACCTCCTGTCTCTGACAACTCCTTTTCAATCACTTGCGGACTCCTTGCTGCCTTCTAAATGTGAGGGTCAGTATGTTCCATTCTCAGCCCCCTTTTAATTTTTCACATTCACCTTAAGAATCACCTTAGTTATTACCCCATGTGTCCAAGCCCTGGTACCTCTAGGCTTCAATGCTGTCCTGAAATGAAGATCATATTCCCAACTACTCACTGGCCATTTCCAGTGTCCCCCAGATATCTCGAATATAACATGGTCCAAACATTACTTATGCTTTCCCCAACAGTTAATGCCCCTACGTTTTTCATCCTATCCACCCAGACACCCAAACCAGAAAACCCAGAGCCACCTTCTATACTCAATTTGTCATAAAATCTTTTTGATTCTATCTTCAATATATCTCTGTCCTCATTTTCACTACCATAGTTCAAGCCTACACCGTCTCTAGCCTGGAAAATTGCAACAGCATTCCTGTCCTTAGCCTCTGTGTCCTCTCATTTATCCTTTAAATTGTTTTCTAGACAAATCTTTCTAAGACATAAATAATGTAATGTTTTTCCCATGATCATTACCCTTTCAATGGCTCCCTTTATCTATGAGATTAAATATCAGTTTCATAATAAAACATGTGTCTCCCTTCAATACCTGACCCCAGTTTGCTTTTCCATTTTCTGCTCTGGCGTTTTTTCCCATGCCCCACTGCAGCAGCACAATGGAATCGCTCACCATTCCCTAAACACTCCAAGCTCCTTCGCATTGTCATGCCTTTGCACATGCTGTTCTGTCTACATCTCCTTCCCTTTTCCTTTCTGAAAAATCTCTCCTTATCTATGAATACTTCCTCCCCTGTGAAGCCTTCTCTGTTGGTTCCTTTGTACACATCTCCATCATGGAACCACTAAGTAGGTTCCAATCCTGCCTCTCCAACTATGTCAAGAATTTCTAAAGTCCTCTTTGCATGCCAGCACCTAACCCCATGCCTAAAGTATAGCGGACACTCAACAACTATTGAATGAATAAATGCACAAATGAACTAGCCTCACTGTTTAAATTCTAAGAGGGATGTGCCCAACCTTTTGTTGTCCTTGGTTTTGTAGGATCTAATACACCTGAAGTAAGCGGGCCATCATTCAGGCCTTAGAAATCTTAGACAGTTGTTTTGAAATCCTATTTGTGTACAGGGTTTAATCAGCAGTCAAAAATGTTGCTACAGAGGGTAATCTGAACCTTAAAATGGGAATAAATGTTGCAGCAGAAAATCTAAATTACAGTGACTTACACCTCCACTATCATTTGATAAAATGCAGCAGAAAGAAGCAAGACCATACACAACCAAGCTATGCTCTGTATTGACTAAAAAGCAGTATTGAACCATTCAAGAAGGCTAAACAATTCCAAATGCTATTTGGATCCTGTAGAGCCAATAACTAAAAGCTTTAGAGGCAAATCAATTAGTAAGTCATAGTTTGAAGTCTGTCTTGAGTATGTGTTTGTGCATAGAGAATTACAGTAAATTATATAAAGGATATGGGAAAATAAGCCACAGTTTCTATTTAAATTATGAGCTTCCTATCTTTCTTAAGAGATTTCAATATATGCTGTAGGATTTGTTCAGAGACTAGGAATCATAATTTCTAGTCTATTAGCTTAAATTAACATCTAAATAGTACATGCTCTTCTACAATTACATTTACCAATTTGCCTCTAATAAATGGAGACCATTACTGGAAGTATTTTGAAAAACTGAATTTATTTTTAAGCTCTGGTTTTTGTACTTTGGACATGCTTTTTTATAATCATTCATTTAGCCTCCCAGCTAGTTATTAAATAAATATTTATGAAGCAACTGCTTTTATAACATATTAAATAAAACAGTTTTTAGGCATATAAAAATCATGTTTTTTAATTTTAACAAAGTTTTGATATTAAAATATTGTAATCTTATTTTTGGAATAAAGCAT